TCCATTTTGCATTTTATTTCATTTTATTTTTAGTTTTTATGTATTTATTTTAATTTTTTTGGCCATGTTTGCTCAGCGTTGTCACAAATTTATTTGATTTAAATGCTTTATAATATTTATTTAGACTAGTGACCTAGAAGTACTGCAGAATAGTAAATTCATTTTGAACAAAAATTTCAATTTTAAGTTAAATAAAATAAATTTGTGACAATGAACACTGGGCAAATATGATATTACTATTTATATCATCATATATTTAAAAAAAAGGCTCAGCATTTTTGGCAGTCCAAAAACTTTAATTGTAGTTTATTATTATTATTATTATTATTATTATTATTATTATTATTATTATTATTATTATTATTATTATTATTATTATTATTATTATTATTATTATTATTATTATTATTATTATTATTATTATTATTATTATTATTATTATTATTATTATTATTATTATTATTATTATTATTATTATTATTATTATTATTATTATTATTATTATTATTATTATTATTATGAATTCTGTTCAATGCTGGATTCTACTTACGACCATATATTATAAAATACTGTAATTTTGTAATATTAAAATATTTTTAAAATATATTAGTAAAACAACATACATATATGTCATCATTTCTATAAATATTTATGATAAAATACTTAATAGTGTATGTAATATCTTTTTTTTTTTTTAGCAACCATGGAGGAATTCCAATGTGCTGCATTGACTTTGTGATTAGGTTCACAGTGTGACTCATCTCTTTTTGAGATGTAAATTCTGATATGCTCTGCATGCAATATTTTTTACGTGGTCTAATTATACTTGACCGTATCACTGTAGCACACATGAAAGTCCTCCATATGGCTTTGTGTCTCTCTTGTGAATTCATGATCCTAGACATTTCCCTCATACTTTTCATTCCTCACTCATAGTCGTCAAAAGCTCTAGCAGGGGGCTGAAGAAAACCGCCCGGATCAGGTGTCCCATAATACCCCTAAACCACTGTAACCTGCACATTAATCAGAGCGGCGGTGGGGTAGATCATAAACCACAGGACCAATAACCAGCCACACTTTCACAGAACAACTGCCGTTATGGCTGGCAGACTGGAGTGCCAGCAGGAGTCTTGAGAAATACTTGTTCCTTGAGTCTGTGTGGTTCTCACTGCTGACCACAAGAGGTGCTAAAATAGCTTCTCAAGTGCAGTATATCGTCATAATTTATTTGGATTAATGAGAGGTTTGGCTAATTATAGCCTCTTTTGTTTTTAGTCTACCTTGAAATTACATCTACAGGAATAAAATTAAAATATCATGGCTTACATTTTGCATTTGTATCTGGATCTGCTTATGTTTTTCAGGCCAAAAATTATGCCATTAATGTCTCAGTGCTTAGATTTGTAGGTAGTGATCTTGCAATATGGTTTTTCATAACTATTTTTTTTCTAGTCAACTAGTTGGCAAGAAAAGTTCTCAAATAGTCAACTGTTAGACATATACTAGTTGTCATGTTTACT